TTTTTTTTTTTTTTTTTTTTTTTTTTTTTTTTGAATTTTGTTTCTCTCTCCCTCTTTATCATTCACTTGTTCAACGATCTCACTGTGTAGGCGATACCTTTGATTCGAGAGGATATTTTAGATGGATAGCGATATCAAACAGAAAGGGGGTACGGATGATCATATTACTGAAGTAAGTAAGAAAATAAATAAATAAATTTACGAATAAAACGAATAAATAAATACATTTGTAATTATTTCATTTTTCCCCCTTTTTGTTATTCTGTGTCTGTCAGTTTTATTATTGCCATACTTTGGAATTAATTTTCTTTTCTATTGAATATAGAGTAAGTAAGGAATAATAAATATTTTATTTCAATTAAAGGCTTTTGATATTGTGTATGTGTCAGTTTTATTTTTACTATTGTCATACTTAGGATTTTAATTTTCTTTTCCATTCAATATAAAATAAGTGATAAATAATAAATATTTTATTCTAATTAAGAACTTTCGTTATTGTCTGTGTGTCAGTTTCACTATTGCCATACTTAGGAACTAATTTTCTTTTCTATTGAATATAAAATATGTGATAAATAATAAATATTTTATTCTAATTAAGGGCTTTCGACAATGTCTGTGTGTTAGTTTTACTATTGTTAAACATAGGAATTAATTTTCTTTTCTATACAATAGAAAATAAGTGATAAATAATAAATATTTAATTCTAATTAAGGGTTTTCGTTATTATTTGTGTGTCAGTTTTATTATTGTCATACTTAAGAACTAATTTTTCTCTTCTACTGTAATTAGGGGCTTCTGTTGCTTAATTTATTAATAAATAAATTGATTGTAGATAAATTAATTTTAAGGTAGTTAAGGCCATTCTATGAAAATTTTGCAAAATTTTGTGAACATTACATGAATTTTTAATATTTAGATATAATAGCTTGAGGTTTTCTGTTTCGTGCAAGGAGATACGTTAAGTATAGAGGTCTAAAATACAATTGTTTGTCACGAATTTCCATTAATCGTGACACGATACGATTTCCTTTTATTTAGTCACGAACGTGGGATAAATTCTTGCAGTTTAATTGGATTATTTATAACGATTCCGTCGTAGCTAGTGTACAAACGCTCGTTAAGCCACGAAAGCGAATTTTAACGAGATTACTTTATTTCCTCTTTACTTGTTCAAGATTACTGCTGAATTTATGCCTCCACATAATACCACAATCTATCACTGATTTACGATACTTCAATTTGTAATGCATGCTTACAATAAATTTGCTGTTTGCTAATATTGCAACATTTGTTATAAAGATTTACGATCAACGACGTTTCGTGATTTACGTGCGTAAATTAGTGTGCGCAGTAACAATGATAGAACAATAATTCTGCATGTCAAGCAATTACAGACTCACTGTCTACTTAATCTGTTCAAATAATATTAACGAATAAAATTATTTCATGAGCAACGGAGTAATATAATTTCAGTATTTCAATGGAAGAAAAATAATAATTATTAAATTTAAAAAAATTAAATAATTATTAAATTAAATAATCTAATAATTTTTTAAAAATTGGGTGAATTTGAATTATCATTATATGACGGAATTTAAGGAGTGAATGCAATGACAATCAAAGATAAGAATAATAAAAATATATATCAGAAATTAATTAGTAACTAAATGCAAATTATATTGCAATGTTAATAAAATATATATAATATTCAAAATCAAATTTATCGACTTAGATAAATTTAGACTTAATTCAGATTAATTATTAGAATAATAATTAATATTTAATTAACACTAGAATTACCAATCTTTAGTGGGCACCTAACTGTAAGTGCACAGATTATAGTAATTTCAAGCAGTACGATGAATATGAGCGAATATATTGGTTACAGTTCTTTCATAATATGAGTTGATACCAATTTTATTCTTAAAACAGGTGTGTATGTGTTTGGTGATTGCAAAAAGGAAAATTCTGGGACCAGTCATTTTCACTGGGTTGGTAGTTCCAGTGTTAAGATAAATTAACTTCGACTTAATTTATGGATTAAGAATATCGACTAAATTTTTCTCTATCTTTGAATTTAGGCAATTTCAAAACTGCATCATGCCTACAACGCCATCTGCAACCACGTGGTGCTTTTCCTTCTTAGGGTAGCGCGAGTTAATATTTTAACCTACACGATCTAGTGCGGTCTAGTAGCTATTAGTACTTTAATTATTCTGGAAACTATAGCTGTTGGGGGAAAATTTGTTGAATAAAGGACATGTGGTACAGGAAGGGTTACTATATGCTGATGATATAATCATCGCCTTTAATTATGTATTTACGTTGCCATGAACGATTCAATTTTGGAAGTGAGTCTTAATAAAAACTTCTATATGAACATAATCCAAAATTTAGTAATTTAGAAGGTGATAATGGGAGTTACTAATCTTACCAATGTTTTAATTTCAATCATTTTTGTTTTTATATTAATAAAACAAAATAAATTGATCCTGAAGAATTTTGATTTTTAATATTTTTTCTTTGCTAAAAGTAAGTATATTATATATACCTATATATATGTATAAAAATTAGTATGATATTATTACAGTAATAATATGTATGAAATATATTGTGTATAAAATATAGATACACATAACAATAGCTATAATCAGTATTTCTATTAACTTTCAAATTATGTCATCAAAAATTTTTCGTATCATTTTGTAAGAATTGAATATTACGAATAAATAATAAACAGAAAAATTTAAGAAACTCTCAAGTATTGCTAAAATATATTAACTCTTTGCACTCGAGAGGCGACTTTCAGTTTTAAATCAATTTATTCGGATTTAAAAAACCGATGTCAATTAATATATTAAATTTAAAATTACCCAACGATGCGTGGAATGTCGAAGTAAAATAATTCTACGTCTTAATTTATATACTTCTTATTTACCGTTTTAAAAATATCGTCGATTTTATGGCAGAAAATTTTTAAATTATTATTTTTCTGTTTCATCGTATAACATCGAAAAATACTATAGAAGGTGGAAATAAAAATAGGAAATTAAATAATAACTTAAAATTATCTGGATCTCTAAAATAATAATCTCCGAAATTTATAAATATAAAAATTGATAAAATTAAAATAAATCCTATAAATCTTAAATTAAAATAAATTCTGCTAATATCTTATGTCAAACCTAATAGCAAATATTATACAATAGGAAACATCTCAAATATTAATCCCATTACGCGAACGCCCTCTATCACTGTACCAGGAAATGGCTGCGAAGCCAAATACCTTTCAAATAATCCACACTAGCAGTGTTACCTCGATCGTTTCACCTCACAGCTCGATTCGAATGTTTGCTCCATCCCACACCGCGTGCGTTCGACATTTTCTCGTTGCGCGAGCGTTTGTTGCCAGATATTTACCACTTTAGGTTGCCATCGAATGGTTAGATATACATTCACTGGCGGACATTTCCTGCCGTCAAACACAGCGCGACTGAATAACGGCCAACAAAAATTACACCCGGGTTTAACGTGCATTCGCTATTCTATGTTGTCGCGGTCGCGTCACGTGTGCCCAGACGTATGTGCGTATCGTGCTGAAGATATCGGGCCTGGCTACGGCGTGCGCGCGCATCGTAACCCCACTTTTGACTCGGACGCGACGCGACAGACAGTTCTGTTTATCTCGCTGCGTCGAACTAACTCGCGTCGCATAACTGTGCCCCTCTTTATACGTGACACAAACGGACGACTACGTAAAATTTTTCGCGTGAAAGGATATCGACGGGAACGGGTAAATATGGGCTCAGGTGTCGTGAAAAGAGTCAAGGATATCTTTGTTTCCTCGTTGTTAAGATTTGTTCGAATATCTGCGGGATAATAGGTGTCGTTTCGAATTCTAGTTATTTAGAATGCGGTGTTATGTACGAGTTGTACAAGCTTGGCAATTTTATTTCAAAGCTGGCGGAGATAGAGTGCATGTTCAATGGTTCCTCGTCGAAAATTTGTAGAACTAGGTTAGAATATGCTAGATCATTCTTCGTGCTCGCCTGATATTGCGGCATGTGACTGTCATTTGTTCCCATTATTATCAGAAAATTGTCTGCATAGTGGAAATATAGGGAATTATTTGAAGAAATTTCTGCAGAATTATTTAAAGCGAGTAAAATAATGGTAAGAGAATTCGACGATACTGTGAATTTTCTATTAAAATGCTTATAAAATTCAAGTTCCGAATGAACCTCGTAAGATTGTTCTATTTACTGACCAACGAAAACCGATATCAACCGATACGCATCCGCCGCAATATCTACGACCCAATTCCGCCTCTGTTTTGCCGATACGAAAGCTGATCAGCAGAAAACATTCATAATTGATCCGATACTCACGTCTCAGTGCCGTTACAGCTGCTATTGCTGAGATGATTGATGGATGCCGGTGTGTGCAGATGCGATTGGTCTCGCGAGGGCGTGAGCGCGACCGTGTATGGCAGCTTGAATCTACCCCTGAGCTGGTCCTTCCTCTTCGGCTTGCGGGTTAGGTCGAACTCACTAGCGCCACGGTTCACGTAAGCTCCTTGAAGCGAGTCGCGGGACGAACTGAAGTATCGCTGCGGAACGGAGTACACCTGCAACATATTCGTCGTTCATTGTCTACTTGATTATTTATGGTATATTAAAATGGTACAGAGGAATATATATGTGGGATCGGGATGGGTGGATGGGCTAAAGTAATGTATTACTGCTTCTTAAAATACAATAAACTTATACTTATTGGCTACGAAACTAGAGACCCGCTACAGGTACGCTCGACTTTTACTGCTTAGACACTATCTTGAGGACCGTGAAGGACTGGTGCTGCCCGCGCCCTTGCACCCTTATTTAAGCATTCGCTCTGTCCTTTTCCATACCCAGGCTTTCCTTTGCAATCACACTTCTTTCCCACGCAACCTCGGAGGGCGCGGTACTTCAAACACTCTGCACGCATCTCTAATCCTTCACTCTGATATAAACATTCATCGAAATCGACCCTCTTGCACGCGGTCTCTTTCGTTTCGGGTCCAGACACATTTGCCATTCTTCCAGGGCCGTGCTTATTCCAATCCCACATATATATTAACCCTTTGCACTCCGAAGCATTCTGGACGTTGGGTACCAGCTACTCAGTGCCACCTTGTAGAAACGTGCATTTACGAACCCTCATATTATATAGTATAATTTTGGAACTAAGTAACGTATTATAATGAGATTGGACTTATATGAATTGGTAGACATCGAGAAATATATATTTGCAAAAAAGGTCAATATTTTACTTTTTATCATTTTGTACAGTATGATAAACTTTCAAGCACTCCCCAATATGCATTGCAGGCTGATTTGTGCACGTTTGACAATAATAAGCAGTTTAACGTCTTCCACCAGGTGTTTTCCTGTCAGAACAAACAATACAGTCCCGTTTACCTTCTCCAACATCGGGAATATGTAGTTTATTATTTAGTCTATTATCCTCCGTCGTGAGCACACTTCTCGCGTTCTCTTCTGACGTAACACCCGCTGACATTTTTCTTATATATCTTAGTAATTTTACCATATTTCGATTTGATTTCTTGTGCCATTTCAAGAGAAAATTTCAGGAAAACGTGCATTTCTCGAAAAGTTGCGCTGGAATAAGTTGATTCCCCGTAATCGCTAATAAACTTTGATGTCCCCTCATAGGGGTCACCCGAGTGATATGCTAGAATTACGATTCCCCTGAGAGGGGACAACGGAGTGCAAAAGGACTATTAATCCTTTGCTCTCGAGAGGTGAGCCTAAGTCTGAAGATCCGTGTTAATTAACACTATGCCGTCCACACGTCAAATTGGGATTCTTTCGTTTGGCGTCGGTAGGACTGACTCAACATTTTCGCATGATACCAATATGGTGTCACCTGCATTTGCCCGATAGTTTTCGCATGACACTAACGTGCTGCCATCGGATGACATAGTGTTAAGATATCAAATGTAAAATAACCTAAACTAGCATGGAACGTCAAAATAAAATAATTTTAAGTGTTCATTTACACTCGATTCTTTATTTACTGTTTTAAAAATATCCTTGTTACAGCATAAAGTCTTCTAATTGCTATTTTTCTGTTAGAAAAGTAATCACCGAGTGCAAAGGGTTAAAAGACTGCCTATTCCAAGCTACGTTGACTAGACATTGCAATTGATAATCGAAATGTATTGCAAAATGGTGAAGATAAATATATATCTTTGTTATAAATTTTGAATTCATTATTTAGGGACATCTTTCTTGGATGATATAATTATTTCAGTCTTATTTTGATTTATCAACACTAGAACTACTATGAGAGATGTTTGGGACATTTTATTGTCGCGATTGCTGAAAATATTTGGCTGCTTTTGTATAAAAATTATCAACTCTATTAATATTAAATTATTAAATTATTAAATCAGTATAAAAATTAGACTAATTTTTTATTTAAATAAAATTAAAATTACGTATGCTCTTCTGTTATTGCTCCTATCATATTTATTAATATCAATTACGTGTAATATTATGATTTAGGTATTCGTTAAAGATCGGTAGTTCCAGTGTTACATTTACTTGTGAAGTTTATACAGGAATACGCGAGCTTGCTGTGCAAGATATGGGGCTCATTACATTTAATATTTTTGCAGATACAAGACTGTATATTCACATGCAGATTTTATTTCGGTATAAACCTGAAATTTTTATTACAGTTTCACGTTTACGTGGCTGTTAATAAATAGTTCGCTCCACAGGAATTTACCTTTTCCTTTTTACGGTCCTATTCGACAATCGATCTTTTTCATCGAACATTTCACGTTCACGATTTTTAATATTTCTATTTTATGTCCGACATACGAGAAAGATAAATCTATTTTTTTAAAAGTTAGAGAAATATCATTTAGTATGGGAAATATACAATTTAAATAAAATATTCGAAAAATTAATAACACTAGTTATTACCAGAAATATTTATATAATATTATATTAATTCTAATAATTGATTATCAGAATATAAATTATATTCGTTGCATTCTTCTATTGTCAAAAATATATATAATAGTATATGCAAATATATAATATTGTGGAAAATTCGATGCTCCTGTTTTAAATTTTATTTCAGATGGAATAATAATTTAGTATGGGAAATATACAATTTAAATAAAATATTCGAAAAATTAATAACACTAGTTATTACCAGAAATATTTATATAATATTATATTAATTCTAATAATTGATTATCAGAATATAAATTATATTCGTTGCATTCTCCTCTTGTCAAAAATATATATAATAGTATATGCAAATATATAATACTGTGAAAAATTCGATGCTCCTGCTTTAAATTTTATTTCAAATGGAACTCCTCACAAACTGAAAAATCTTGTTAATTAAATCGAGTGAGTTCCACTGCATAGAATTCAGCGAAAGATTCTGCTTTAATTCGATAAACCTTTATTGCAGTAAAAAAAAAAAATACTCTTTTCAATTAACAGATATTTGCCGAATAAAACGATCGAAATTTTACAGGAAATCCCGTTATCGCGTATTCGATACACAAGTTTACTTTTTAGCCAAATTCATGGCTACGATTATATTTATTTCCTCCTCTAACCAAAATCTCAAGCTGAACACGGAGAGAGCAGGTTTTGTTGCGCGATTAAACACCGCCATTTGAATATTATCCGCTCATTTGAATATTAAAATATTCGCGAATATTCTATAGCTGCGTGCAAAAAGCTAGCAACGGTCAATTTTCGCTCGTGGCGAGTTCAGGAGTCTGCGTTGTGGATCAGCCCATTCGTCTGCCATTTCTCCTATAATTCTGTGTGACGTCAAAACACTCGCGAAATAACCAAGTGATAAAAACCGTTTCGTTTGATGCGAGTTTCATAAAGAAATATCGTGTTCTAGTTGATTTGATGTTATAGTATGTATGTGAGAGTTTATATGCAATTATATAAGTGATATTATTTTTCAGTGGTAGACTGAGGTATCGACACATTGTCGTTAATATATTTCTTAACATTGAACCTACAAATCGAAAAAGAGTGGTAGAACTATTAGAACACTACCTATTCTAAACTATGTTAGCTAAATATCGCAAATGACACCTGAAATCTTGAATCTACTCTCAGTATTAGGCAACTACACAGTATCTTCATAAAATTTTCACTCCCATCGCTTTATTTTGCACACGACACGTCAAAATCGAAGAAAAATTGACAGATCTATTAAACAACTGCCAATTCCAAGCAATGTTGGGGAAATATGGCAATTGACAGTCGAAATTTGGAATCTACAATCGATATTAGGAAACTAACTACGCAGTAGTATCGTATGATTTGCACTTTATCATTTTATTTCGCAAATGGCACATCAAAGTCGAAGAAAAATTAACAGAACTATGAAAAAATAGTATATTCCAAGTTATGTTGACTAAATATTACAGTTGACAGACGAAATCTAGAGCCTACAATCGATATTAGGTAAGTGCGCAGTAATATTATACGATTTGCACTCCCGTCACTTTATTTCACAAATGGCACGTCAAAATTGAAGATAAACTGACAGAACTATTAAAAGACAGTCTAATCCAAGTTATGTTGACTAAATATTACAGTTGACAGACGAAATCTAGAGTCTACAATCGATATTAGGCAACTGCGCAGTAGTATTATAAGATTTTCGCACCCGTTATTTTATTTCACAAATGGCACAACAAAATCGGAGAAAAATTGACAGAATTATTGAAAACCCTTGTTTATCCCAAAGTATGTTGACTAGATATCGCAACTGACAGTCGAAATCTAGAATTTATAATCGATATTAGGTAACTACGCAGTTTATTCCAAAGTATGTTGACTAGATATCGCAACTGACAGTCGAAATCTAGAATTTATAATCGATTTTAGGTAACTATGCAATATCTTCATACGATTTTCACACTTGTCACTTTATTTCGCACATGACACTTAAAGAAGGAAGAAAAATTGGTAGAACTATTAAAAAACAGCCTATTCTATGCTATGTTGACTAGATATCGCAGTTGATAATCGAAATCTAGAATCTACAATCGATATTAGGTAACTGCGCAGCAGTATTATACGATTTCCACTCCCATCACTATATTTCGCAAATGGCACATCAAAATCGAAGAAAAATTGACAGATCTATTAAACGACTGCCAATTCCAAGCAATGTTGGCGAAATATCGCAATTGAGAGTCGAAATCAAGAATCTACAATCGATATTACGTAACTGTGCATTGTTACTCTATTTCGCGCATGGCACGTTAAAATGGAAGAAAAATTAGCAGAACTATTAAAAGATTGTTGACATTGGAAAGCACTGTCATCGTTTAATCTTTTAATCGCTTAATTTTTCAAGTTAAATATATAACAAATGTCCCTTCTATCATATTTTCTGACATCTGCTTTTTCAAAATATACATTTTAACAACGTACTGATAATGCCAAACGAATTTGTATTAAATCTAAAAAATTTGCAAATGAAATGTACGTAGATAGAAATGAGTTCTTGAGGTTCCGATTGTCCACCTAAGATTACCTTCCTTATGGTCATTGTCTTCAT